GTGTCTTTCTTCTCCTTCCTTTCCTTTCCTTTCCTTCCTCCCCTTCTGATGTCCGCATTCCAGCTAATGTTGCGCAGATAAAATTCAAACTCGAGGTAAACACAAGAGGAGGAGGAGGAGGAGGTTGGAGAGGAGGTGGTTTCCATCCTTAGATCCCACCTCCTCCCCAAGGGAAACACCTCCTGGGCTGGAGAGATGGCCACAGTAGCCCCCAATGGCCACTAGGTAGCCTCCCTCCATCCCTGCATCCACCCCTGGATTCCTATGCTTCTAGATGTCTACGTGTATATCCACACATACAGACACAGGCTTCCTGGGCTCCTCAGTGGAGAGCTTTGGCTAGCCATCCCCAAAAGGATGACAGGGAAGAATCTCTTTCCTATCCTCAAACAACAGGGCTGGCCGGGGTGACCAGTGAGTCCTCCTTTTCCAGGACATGCCCTCCATCTCAGCCTTCTGTCCAGGAGGAATGCCCAAACGTCCTCCCATGACTAACAAGCATGGCTTTATAGTTCTAGGAGGGTTTTTAGTATTTGTTTTGGAACATCCCGCATTTTGTGGTGCCTTGACCACGAGTAGGATAAACCTCACCAGATGACTCGAAGGCACACAACACCATCTGATGAAGCCTTGAAAGGTTGTATATGATATTTTGAGCATTTTAGTTTTCCCAATAAAGGTATCCCTACTTCACTGTTCCAAGTGCCTGAAGCAGCTGCCTCATTCTGCCCAAGGGCAGAGCTGGTCCCGGCTGCAGCGTTTGGAGGGCAGGGTATGGTGCCATTACAGTGGCATGGTGGTTTGAGTGCTGGACTATGACTCTGGAGATCAGGGTTTGAATCCTGACTCAGCTATATAAACCCACTGGGTGACCTTGGGTAAGTCACACTCTCTCAGTCTCAGGGGATGTCAATGGCAAACCCCCTCTGTAGAAACGTGCCAAGAAAAGGTTTGCCTTAGGGTCTCCATAAGTCAGAAACGACTTGAAGGCACACAACAACAATGTCACTGCTCCAAGTGCTTAAATTAGCTACCTCACTCTGCCTAAAGGAAGAGCTGCCCCTGGCTATATCGTGTCCCCCCCCAAACCCACTGCAGCCAGGGCCAGCTCTGCCCTTGGGCAGAATGAGGCAGCCGCTTCAAGCACTTGGAACAGAGACGTTGCTGTGTGTTTTCAAGTTGTTTCTGACTTATAGTGACTGTAATGGAAATCTATCATGGGGTTTTCTTGGCAAGTTTCTTCCAAGGGGGTTTGCCAATTGCCATCCTCCGAGGATGAGAGAATGTGACTCGCCCAAGGTCACCCAGTGGCTTTCCATGGCCGAGCCAGGATTTGAACCTTGATCTCCAGAGTCATAGCCCAATACTCAAACCACTATGCCACACTGGCACTATGTCCCAGCCCCAAACGCTGCAGCCAGGGCCAGCTCTTCCCTTGTGCAGTGAGGCAGCTGCTTCAGGTGCTTGGAATAGTGAAGTAGGGATATCTTTATTGGGCAAACTATAATGCCCCAAATATAATATATACGGTATATGTATCACATGCATTTGAAGCTCCATTGGCTTCTTCATTAGTTGTTGTTGTGTGTCGTCAAGCCGTTTCCAACTTGGCAAGGTTTGTTCAGAGGGGGTTTGCTATTGACATCTCCTGAGACTGAGAGTGTGACTTACCCAAGGTTATCCAGTGAATTTCCATGGACGAACCAGGATTTGAACCTTGGTCTCCAGAGTCGTAGTCCAGCACTCAAACCACTAGCACCATTTTGGCTCATTCTTCACCACAAAATAATACAGGAAATTGTATTATTTTTAACATCTTTGCCTGATGAAAAAGTCAGTAGAGCTTCGAAAGCTTGCAACATATATTTTAAGCATTTTGCTTGGCCCAATAGAGGTATCACTGTTCTGTGGATTTTGGATGTTATTGTACTTTGCTATATAACCAACACAGCTAGCCCTGTATGTTTCTTGGACCAGTGAGTTTGTTATTTGATGTCTTGTCCTCATTCTGGGTTTATTGCCAGAGAGAGAGAGAGATTAAAGAAGTGCTGATGGGCTTTTCAGTCATTGGGACCAGAGTAACTTGGCTGTTTTTAGGTACCACGCACCTTGACTTGAGGGATAGCCACATGGAGAAGTTTGATGTTGTGCTTTGGGCAAGAAAATATGTCTCTCTGGCCCCAGTATGACCAAAGTTGGTTTGTTACTGGAAAGCATCCTTTTTGGTTAGTAAAAGAGCCGATGTGATGTAGTGGTTTTAGCACTGGACTACAAGTCCGGTGGCCAGGGTTCAAATCCCCGCTCAGCTGTGGACACCTACTAGGTGACCTTAGGCAAGTCACACACTCTCAGCCTCAGAGGATGGCAAAAACAACCCCACTCTGAGCAAATCTTGCCAAGAAGATCCTATGATAGTGTCGCCATAAGTTGGGAATGACTTGAAGACAGAGAACAACAACAACAGAATGGGCAAGGAGGAGTTTTGGGGTGTATTAAAACCATTATAGTTGCTGTTCCCCCATTCCCATCTGTTTTGGAGAACGGTGCGGTATTTTGATACTCTTTAGTCATTTATTTTATGCAAGGTTTTAAGATTATTCAGCTCAATTCCTGTAAGTTACTCATAATCATTGCAACATACCTGTAAGGAAGAACAGTAATATTGCATCCTTATTGAAGATATGGAGATGAGGAAAGATGCTAAGGCTAAGATTGCCTAGGGCCATGGTGAGTCTATCATAGACATATCCAAATCAGTCAGTTGCTGGTTCATAGCAAAATCCTCTAGCCATATTCCTTGCCTAAGAAAACCTTATGAAATTCATAAGGTTGCCGTAAGTCAACAGGCAACTTAAAGGCACATAGATACACATCGTAGCACCTTTCCCATTTTGTCTGGCACTCTATTGCCTAAAAATTATATGTGTGTTTGTGTCTGAGAGAGAGCAAGAAAACACATGCACAAGTGCCTCTTCTCCATCACCACCAGTGAGAAAATCAAGTTTGAGGTCTTTCTTATTGGCAACGCTGTAGTAACTTAGGAGCAAAACAAACACTTTCTTTGCAGTAGGATGCTGGGAAACAAGGAGGTTATGCCCCTAAGGAGCCAATGGATGTACAAGTGAAGGAGTGTTGTTTTTGGTTTGTTTGTTTCTGCATAATTTTTTTGTGTATGGGAGCTTTAACCAGTATAAAGGAGAGTAAGGCACCTGCAAGTTTCATAATGACATAGAAGAGGGGTTTTTGGCTTGTGGAGCTTTTCTTCCTGTTCTGTCCGGCCTGACAAGCCACATTTGCCAAAAATCCCCTTTTACACGCCACTAAAAATAACATTTAGGAGCCCCATCTCCCCTTGCCTCTGGCTGTTGTAGTGTTTTCGTATTTCCAGGCATTTTGTTCTTGACATACGAATCCCAGTAATAGCAGGGTGGAGGTTTATGGGGTTTGGGTAAATGACAGCTGGGTGCTTATGCGGTTAGACAGTGTTGACAGCTGACTTCTAAACATTGTTGATGTTGGGGAGGAAAGGGGAGAGTGAAATTATAGCAGTGATGTGTCAGGCACACAACACATGTAGCATGCAACTGTTGGGTGGGAGAGGACGATTGTGGGGTTTCTCCTGTTGGGAGGACAGGCTGTTTTGCCCAAGAAACATGCCTGAGGCTCAAAAGAGACTTTCCTCCCTCTGGATTTCAGAAGGACATTTATGTGTTGTGTAACCGATGGTAAAGGAATAGCCAACTAGGGTGGAGGAATGTTTGGGAGATGTTTGTGCAAAATGACATTTTAGAGCAATGTGGTGAGGGTGTTATCTCCAGGCCACTTTCTCTTCCTGGATAAGTACTAAGCAATTTCACTGTACCTTTTAAATCCAAAGCTCTGCCTTTGCAAACATTTTGCTAATTAATTGCTGAAAGTTTCCTCTTGTGAATACTTTGCAGCAGCAGGGTACAGTTGCCTCCAGTAACAGAAAAAGCTGGGTAGGTTGAATGGAGATCTTCCACCTTCAGGGAGGAAGGGAGTTAGAGTTATCGAAGAAGGCAGAAGCCAGTATCTTTAACCAAACAATATGCATATATAAATATATTTAGATCTATCTATCTATCTTTAAATAAGCGTGCCTCCTGGAAGTTTAAGGTGGGCAGCACCGTGCTATTTTTAAAGGGTAATAAGTAAAATTGGAGAAGTACAGTACAGCTGCAGAATTATGCAAAAATAATAAGAAGGCTTTTCCAGCTTTTTTTAAAAATAGAAAATAATCTGATTTAGTCTACTCTCCTCCCAATCTATGAGATTTTACTGCATTCCAACATGATCCTCCTCTTATAAGGAAATGGGATGAATTTACAGTATCACCGTTAAAACAAGAGGACAATGACGAGAGATAAAAATGTGAGCAGGCCTTATGTGGCACTACTACAATCATACAGTAACAAAATGAGCTCTAAATTGAGCAAACATTGGCATCTGGCAATGCCCAGTTGTTGTTGTTTTAAACATGTGGGTTTTTTGAGATAGGAGCTTCTACTTTGCTTCCAAATCCTGAATTCATTTCCAAAAAAGCTATTTTACCTATGTGAATTTTCCTCCTTCAGTCTCATTTTGTTGTACAGTGGGACCCTTGGTACCTGCTGGGGTTTGGTTCCAGGAAGTCCCATTATATACAATGGCATAATAAAATGGTGTTCCTTATATAAAATAGCAAAATGAAGCTTTGCTTTTTGGAATTAATATATTTCTGGAATATTTTCAAGCTGTGGATAGTTCAAGCCATGGGTCCCACTTTGGGAGAAAGGCGGGATAAAAATAAATAAATAATTCGTGGATAAGGAGGACCAACTTTAGTAAAAGTGTGTGTGTGCCTTCAAGTTGCTTATCAATTTATGGCAACCCCATGAATTTCATAGGGTTTTCTTAGGCAAGGAATATTCAGAGGTGGTTTTGCCATAAGAATAGAGGTGGTACTAATGCTGTTTTGGGCAATGCATTCATAGTGGTGAACCTACAACCCTTTTGAAGGAGTTGTAGTCCAAAACATATGGAAAGCAAAAGGTTCTCCACAACTGGGCCAATATTGAGAGTGAAATGAGAGATTGGGAGCATTTTTATACTGGCTAGACTAGAGGGTTTAGATTGAATTGAGAAGAGAACGAATGGTTTTGTTTGGATAAAACGGAGGCAGGAGAGTTGTTGGAAATCCACGTCACATTACTGTGCACATTTCATGGGAACATATCCATTTATGAGAGTCATCATGTTCAGCGTTACATTTTTAGCATATCATGATTGACCCCATAGCTAAGAAAGTCTGTCACAAAGTCTGGAAAAGTCCAGTTGTGTACATAGTAGAGCCTGCAAATAACTGATTCACTAAGCAATATAGCTATATATTTCTGTGAGCCGCCTTGGGCCCCTTCCCAGAAGAAAGGTGGCATATAAAACAAACACAAACAAACAAATAAAAATATACCTAATTTCTAGCAGCTGGTATGTGTCCTGTGGTTGTGTGAAACACTATTAAGAATTGGTTTGTTGTTTGTGACTCATTCTCTGTGTGTTGGGAAAATAATCTTTATAAAACCAGGATATTTCCGTTGGGAAAAATAACTATATTGGAATTACTGGCTCTGAGGAGACAAAGTCAAGATCACTTAATATAAGTACATTTTGTAACCACTCTGTTTTACATCATGTTTGGCTGGAAATCAGCTGAGCATACGATTATATAAGAAAAGGGAATCGTAATGTGTGTGATTCTGTACAGAAGCAGGATGTGGCTGTGCTGGATTAGTTGATGTGGTATGACCATGTCTTTGTGTGCAGAATGTGGGATGTATATGTTATGTGATTTGTATTAAGAATACACGATTATTT